GACTATAAAAAAAAGTCATTGTAAACTGTTATAGAGTGATCTTTAGGATGTGCAGTTAAGTGAAAACACAAGGTATTCCACCTTTAAAGGTGGAGAGGTTGCACAAAATATAAAAACATTCTTCTCTAGTATTTAAATGGTGAATAAAACTAAGAAAAATTCTAAATGGCTTTCTATAGTGAACAGAGTGAAAAGGGTAAAAGAGATGGGGATAGAAGACTTCTCTGAATGAAACCTCTACTACACATTAACTCTCAACTATGTAAACATTTTGCATAATTATTTACCAACATTAATATTTTAAAATCTGTCCATAAAAAAGGAAACAAAATAGAACTCATGAAACTTTTCAAATCAAGGGAACCACTATAAAGAAAGACAAATACTTCAACCAAGATATAGGCCTTCTTTGGATTCTCTCAAAAAAAAATTTTTTTTTTAATTTGTTTGGAAGCCAGGTATGATGGCACACACCTGTAACCCCAGACCAGGAGGTAGAGGAAGGAAGATCTGTAGTTCAAGGTCAATCTTAGATACATGGCAAATTCAAGACCAGTCTGGACTATATGATACTGCCTTAAAAAAAGAGGGGGGGTGCAAAAAAATCTGAGAAATTTGAATATTAATTGGATATTTGATAATATTAATAAAAACAGATTTATGAGTAAACACTTTGGTTATTATCCTGATTAAACTGGGAAATGGGAACAGAGAGATTTATTCTAACACTTGATTCTATGTTCCACCATGAAAGTTTTTCTTAAATTTCTGTAATTCATTAATTTCCTAGTGGTCACCCCTTTAAGTTGATGTACATTTCATGATAATCACTATGTTACAAAGCACAGCTAAACACAAAAGTATAATACATCACCTTTGTAAAAGTGACAGGGATACTGGCATCCAACTGAATATGATCTGCAACTTCTGTAAACTGCTGCTGCTGTTTCTGCAATGTCTCTAATAACCTTGTAATTTCTTGTTTGGCCAAGACAACTCTACAATCATCCTAGAAAAGAGAAGAAAGTTTTTCTCATAAACCTTTTTCTTAAAGAAACAGAAATTTACCATCATCAACTTGCAATATAAAAACATTTAAGAGGCTTGAGAGATGACTCAGTATTTAAGAACACTGGCTGCTAATGCAGAAGACCCAGGTTCAGTTCCCAGCACCCACATGGTGTCTAACAACTGTCCTTGACTTCAGTGCCAGGGGATCTGATGCTCTCTTCTGAACTCTGCTGGTACTGCACACACATAATGCTTACATACATGCAGGTAAAACACTAAACTCATGTAAAATAAAAATACATTTTTTAGCTTTAAAAAATTATTTTTATTTTATGTGTATGTGTGTATTGCCTGCATGGAGGTAAGTGCACCCGCGGAGATCAGAAGAGGCTGTCAGATCCCTTGGGACTGGAGTTAGGGACAGTTGTTAGCTGCCATGTGGGTGCTGGGATTCAAACCCGGGTCTTCTGCAAGAATAACCAGTGTTCTAACTGGGGAGCCATCTCTCCAGCCCCCCCCCAAATAAGATAAATTCTTTAAAAAAAAACATTTAGCACTGCAGTATTAAAAGTGAATTTAGGAATGCTTACCTCAAAAACATGAGAACCTGAGTTTGATCCCTAGCACTTATATAAAAAGACAGGCACAGTGGCACTTGCTTATAATCATAGCACTGGGGATGTGTATTATATTGGTTTATCATCATGAGTTGTTTGAGTTCACTGAAAAGCTGGCTTTGAAAGCAGGGTTGTCCCCATCCCCACTTCAGACCCAAGTATGTCTATATCATGTGTCCTCTAAGACCCTTGTATGGAGATAGGCTGCCCCACCCCTAACTCTGTAACAGGGAGGGAAGAGAACAGCAAACAGCCCATGAGTAAAAATACCAAGTCCTTAAAAATAGCTAGAAGGTAAACCATTTCCAACAGAAGTTGCTCCTGTTTATGTCATTATATAGAAGTGCCTCGCATGGGAAAAAGAAGCCAGAAGTTCAGCCGTGGAAAGTTCATGAGCAGAGAGAAAGCTCAATTGAGAACTTCAGCTGAATGTCTCAACTTCTGTCAGATTCTGTTGGATGTGTGAATACCGATTTGATGTTATCTCTATCTGTTGCTATCTGTTCTTTCAGCATCACCCAAAGGGATAGTGTTCCTCCCAGCACTCTCAATCAGAAACTTCAGCTGCCTTAATGGGGGCTTTCCCAGTCAGTTTTGCTGGAAGTTTATAAGCCCTCAGTTTGAAGATGTTACCTTTCTGCCATTATTTGTTTTGCTCGGAAGTTTCACCCAGTGGGACAGCCTGCTCTGCTCAGGCCTCCAGCTGGTTACCTTAACAGGGCTTCCCCAGTTGGTTTCTGCTGGATGTTTTGCGTGTTCAATTTGATAATTATCTAGATTCTATCTATCTATCTATCTATCTATCTATCTATCTATCTATCTGTCTGTCTGTCTGTCTGTCTGTCTGTCTGTCTATCTATCTATCTATCTATCTGTCTGTCTGTCTGTCTATCTATCTATCTATCTACCTACCTACCTACCTATCTGTATCTCTCTCTTCTTCCTTCCTCCCTCCCTCGCTCCTTCTTTCCTGATATTTTATTCTTTTACTCTGTCCTACTTAGTAAATTCACTCATTCAAAACTGAAAGAATGGCCACTGTATATCATTCTCTAGACCACATAAAACAGGAAACAGAATTAGGAGGATCCCTGAGGCTCAATGACTAACGAATCTAGCTTAATTGGTAACCTCCAAGCCAATGAAAGACCGTATGTTAAAGGAGGTGGACAGCATTCCTGAAGATGGCACCCAACATTGTCCTCTGACCTCCACATTTATGTACACCTTCACATACACGATACATAAATTTTTTAATTAATTTAAAGGTAAATTTGAGTAGGATAATAGTAATTGGGACCCAAGTAAAGGCAGGAGAAGAAAACCAACTCCACAAAGCTGCCCTCTGACTTACACACATGTACCATGGCATACACAAAAATTTTATTTCTCCATCAAAACTATGTTTTAAAACTGACAGAGAAATAAAGACTTTCAAAGATAAAAACCTAAAGCCTAAAGCAACTCAAGACCACTAAGCCAGTACTGGAGAAGATAAACACAGAGGAAGAAGAAAGCCATAAGCATAAAAGTTCAGCAAACAAATTTCAAATTGGAGGATGAGAAGAAGAAATGAGACCTGGGAAATAATCAATCATGCCAAGTTAATTAACCAGACAACCTTGAAGAGGAACAGCAAAGAAAGAAGAGAACAAATAATGTTTGAACAAACAAGAGGAGCAATAAACAAAACTGCAGGAAACAACAAATATTAGCAATAACCCTAAATGTAAATGGTCTTAACTGTTCAATTAAAAAACACAGACCAGATAACTGGATTAAAAAACAGTTCCAAGTTTTTGTTGTCTACATGAAACATACCTCATTGAAAAAGACATACACAGAATAAAAGTGAAAAGACAGAAAATAGTGTGTAGAAAAGTAGAAGCCCAAACCAAGCAGGAGCAGCTATACTCATAGCTGATAAAGTAGACTTCAAGTAAAGACAAACCAGAAGAAATAAAGGCCAGCATATGTTAATGGAAAGAACAATCCATCAAGAAGTTATCACTGTAAATATATAATAAACCAAATACTAGTGCACACAGTATCATCAAATAAACACCAGTGGACATGAAGGGATAGATTAAGTCCAGATACACTGCTAGTGGAGTGACTTCAATTCCCCATTCTAACCAAAAGATAGATCATCCAGACCAAAACACAAACAAAAAAAGAAACTTCAGAGTTGAAAATACCCTAAGATCAAAAGGAACTCGTGTGTGTGTGTGTGTGTGTCTGAGTCTGTGAGCATATACCTGTATTGGACTTAAAAGAGAAATCCACAGAATATTCAAAAACTGTGGAATATACCTCCTCCTCCATCATCTTTGGTCTTCTTTTTCTTTACTCTTTATTCTTTTCTTCCTTTTTTTGGTGTACGTGTACGTGTGTGCAGAGGTAAATGTCAGCTGTTGTTTCTCAGTACAACTGTCAACCTTGTTTTTTGGAAGACATGGGACCTGGGGCTGGCTAATTAGGCTAGTCTAGCTGACAAGTCCAGGGATCCTCCTATTTCCACTTCCCCAGATCTGGGATTACAAGTATGTGCCACCATGCCCAGCTTGTTATATGGGCTCTGGGGACTGAACTTGGATCTTAATGCTTGCATAGTAAGCACTTAATGAACTAAGCTATCTCCTAAGTCCAGAATACACATTTTTGTCAGAAGTCTATAGAACTCCAAAACATTACATTTAAGCCATAAAGCAAGTCTTAATGCCAAAAAAATAAATACCAATAATTGCTTGTATCTTATCAGAGCAAATAGAATAAAACTTGGAAATCAATAGCAAGAGATACCATAAAAACTATACAAGGAGGCCAGCCTCCTTCCCTGACAAATATCCCAGTCATCACTCATCAAAGAAGCTCATTTTGCACCAGTCAGAGACTATTACCAAGTACACAACTGATCACACATGGACGTTGTCTATGAACTGCCCAGATCTAAGGGCAATGCAACCTCTACAACTAAGGCTCATGGAACATAGAACAGGGGTAAAGAAGAGGACACTAATGAATCTCTCAGTTCTCATTAATAAAGCTCTCTCATGCAGGGGAGGGCCAGGAGCACAAAATGTCACAAATGGCCAAAGTGTAGAGATCAAGAGTATGTTGAATGCTGGTCCTTGAACAGGACTTCTTTATTACACTTCACCCACCCAAGGCTGAAGGACCATCGTGGAAGGGTGGGGGGCACAGAAAGACTGCAAGATCCAGGGAGGAGGTGCATGACCATATGGTAACAAGAGACCTACAAGCTCCTGTGAACTTGCTCATATGATTCTATGGCAATGGTGTCATCATACACAAGTCCCGTGCAAACTCAGACAGACAAAAACCCAGCATAGAACTGAGAAAATGAACAGAAAACCCCAATCTTATCTGAAGAAATATTGGTAACTGATTACTGCTAGGTGAAGAAGAGCTGATCTTCCTAAAACAAGGGACTCTAGATAGGCTGCTAGACCTCAGTGGATGGACTTGAACTGGGGACAGTGACTTGACACAGTGGGCCATAACAGGGATGACAGTGTCTATGGGCTCCAACTGGGGGGCTATGGGAGGTTGCCAGTGGGGATGGGGGTATAAAGATGACTAAGATAGTTTGAAATGCTTTGTATGAAATACACAAAAATTATTAAAAACAAATTTTTTAAAAAATATGTGTAAGACCATATCTTATATCTTTTTATAATATATATGCATTAAATTGGGTGGGGGCAGTTGGGGGAGGTGTCAAGAGGGAAGCAGATCTAAATGCTATCAAACTATACTGTATGAAAATCACAAAAATTCAATAAAGCAAAACAGAAAAAAAACTATATACATACATGGAAACTGAACAATACCCTCTTGAATGATCGGTCGATCAATGAAGATATCAGGTGAAATCTAAAACTCCCAACAATAAATGAAAACATAAAAAACTGTAGGAAAGACCAAAGGCAGTTTTCAGAGGAACCATATAGCTACATGAGTGGTTCCATTAACAAAAAAAAAATCACAGAGAGGCCAGGTATGGTGACACAAGCCTTTAATCCCAGCACTAGGAAAGCAGAGGCAGGCAAATTTCTGTGAGAACAAGGCCAGCATAATCTAGACCTACAGGGAGATCCTGTCTCAAAAACAAATAAAAAAAAAACCAGAGATAACAAGGTAGGGGAGACCGGAGAACACTGGTGATAACAGAGGGGGAATACAGGAGGAGGGAGAAGGGATAAGGTAGGGAGAGAAGAGGTGAGGAGTGGAGGAAGAGTTAATTAAAATGAAGGGTGCACATAAACATCATATAGAAACCTAGTACTTGATAAGTCAGCTAAAAACTTATGAGAGTGAGACGGGCGATGGGCTGCATGTCTGAATAATGCTATACCTA